ATCATCATCATTCATCATCATCATCTCATCATCATCACATCATCATCATCATCATCATCACATCAGCATCAGCATCAGCATCAGCATCATCCTCCTCCTCCTCCTCCTCCTCCTCCTCCCCATCATCATCATCATCATCATCATCATCATCATCATCATCATCATCATCATCATCATCACCAATGTCATTGTCATCATCATCCTCATCCTCATACTCATCCTCATCGTCGTCATCATCACCATCATCATCATTGTCATCATCATCATCGTCATCATTATCCTTGGCCTCCTACTCCGCGTCCTCCTCCTGCCATTGCCCGCCCCATGTCCCAAGTCTGTGGCAGGGTCGAATCACATGCTGGTCGTTGTCGTTGTCGTCGTGGTCGTTGGCCTCGTCGTCCTTCGGAATCGCCGGTTCCGGCCGTATGGCCTTCACACTGTCAGCCGACTGTCCAGACGCAGACCAATGTGCTTGCGAACGCGCCAGCTTCCAAGCGAAACCACGACGAGTGCTCGCGAGCAGTAGCGTTGGCATCGCGGCAAGCACGTAAGAAGACATCACATGAGAAGCCCATGGAAAAGCATGTAAACTGCATGATGTGCAAGAAAGTGATGGGGTCTGCTGTGCAACACCGTTGTATCACCTCAGGATGGTTCACTTCGGCCAGCCAATGTGCAAGCTGTTTGGCGGTTATGTGAGTAGTAAGCGAATCGGCAGATTCTAAGGCAAGCTCGCAATCAAGGTCGTAGGCGCACTGAGCATGAGCAATCGAGCTATAGAGCTGACAGGCAAACGAACTATCATGTCTGAAGAGCAGTGCCTAAGGAACCCGACTGGCCTGAACGGACGTCAAAAACCAGATACAAGGAGTGCGTATAGCGAGCCATGTACGTGGCGACAAAACGGAGGCTGTGCTTGAGAACAGTGCCGATCTCCTCCTCCTCCATCTCCTCGTCCTCCTCCTCCTCCTCCTCCGTCTCCTCCTCCGTTGACCCCAACATTGCTCCTTTGCAAGCAAGAACTACCCAAGGACACCCAATGTTCGACAGCAATATACTGTCATGTTGCAAGTATTGTGGCCAACGAAGGCGGAGCATTAGAGACCTCCCCATCCAGATCTCTCACACTCTTGGATTACAAAAGTATGCCAGTTTTCCAAAATCAAGCGCTGACCTAATCCTCCAATCGGGGTGCTCGGCTCGTCTTTCACCTTCTGGCTGCTCATCTTCTTCGTCGAAGCTGGGCTGCGCGATGCCGTGACTGGGAGGCCATCTATGTCAGCCTTCCCGAAGGTGAGCGAGCCTGAGAAGGTACAAAAGAACGTCGCAATACGAACGCGATAGCAAGAGGCTCCATTACCCCCCTCCACGCCCCCTCCTCGCAGAGTCCTCGCCCCATTCCTTATCCCTTCCCTGTTCTTCCCCTCCCACGCCCACCCTCCGCTTCCTCCCATCCCCTTCCTCCCTTCCTCTTACGTCTCCCCCTCTCCAATATTCACTCAATCCCCTCACCTTCTCTTCTGCCTCCAACACCTCAGGAAGAGACAATGTACGTGCCCTTTCCTCTTTCCCCCAAGAGCCTAAGGCCATCCCGCACACAAACGGGTTGGGCTGCACGACGTTGATATCCTCGCAGCAAGATGGCGAAGAGAAGCGGGAGGTGGATGAGGAGCAGGAGGAGCATCGATTGCAGTGGAGGGAAGGAGACGGGAGGAGGAGCGGCGAGAGAAGGAGCATCAATCTTAAGTTTGGGAGGAGACGCGTCAATTGTAGAGGGAGGGCTGAGCGGGACAGGGATCATGAGATCGCTGACGTCCTCGTACCGCACGGAAAGGTTGCTCAGGTCAACCTTCAAATGGTTGAGCAGCCGCTTCAAAAATCTGTCCTTCATCTTATCCTTCCGGGTCGCCTTGGTTCAACGGCGGGCTCGCCTTAACCCCGAGGACCAGGGCGCCCAGCACCGCAACCGAGACAGGACCCTCCGGACGCCGAAACATCAGAGGCGGCCAAGACACGGCCGAGTTTGACTGCTCATTGGCCTCCGGAAGGTCTGACTGGCTGGCTCCCTGGTTCCCCTTGAATCCTATCCCGCCAATCATAAGTTGTCCTGAGTCGATGGGGGGCGGGGGCGGGTGGGGTTCGGATTTGGCTACGTGTTCGGCGAATTCCGAGCCCTACGCCTGCCGCCCACATAGTTGCCTGGATCGTGGATCGGCGAGGGTGGGGTTCAGACTTCGCCGCCGACCCTGGCCCTCAGTGGCCAGCCGACCAGGACCGCCAGGAACCTGCCGCAGGCTCCTGCCACTACGGCGCGGCCTCCGGACTGCGCCACCGCGCGATCTCCGCTGAAAGGCTGCTGGGGGGCATTCGGCCTCGAACGCCCGCGGCCGAACTCACGCCGCGCGGAGGGGGCACGAGACTGCCGCACATTTCGTCGTACCACTCCGAGCCGCCTTGCTGGTTCGACTCGGTCCAAGGCTCGCCGTGGACTGAGAGGCCTGCGGGCCCTGCGACGTCGGCTTGTCCTGGGGGAGGCGCCAACTATACAGCCACGGGGATCCTGGCCGGGCGCCTCCTTGGCCGAGCGGATCGGCGCATGCGCCCTCGGGGCCAGGCCAAGAGCACACGCGCGCGCGCGGACACATGGACCGCAGGTCTATCCGGGACCAAGGCACTCCCCACAAAACGCCGACGCCGACATCCCGAAGACCATGGAAGGCGGCCGGCCGGAATCTCCACCAGCGCAAACCATGCACGGACCCTGGGCCCGGGATGGACCTGCCAGGACAGGCGCCGGTGCTTCAATACCCAGACCTCCTGCTGGGACAACTCGACTTCTGTTTCGAATCGTCGGCCCCTGGACCTCTCGACCCTTTACTTGAAGTCTGCTTGTTTTTGTTAACCCACGCGGGTTTTCAGTCTTTCGCGTGGTCTGGTGCCTCCCCTGCACACCGCACAACGGCCTCTTCCAGACGCCTCAAGGCGGTCAGATAGTTTGCCCGAACAATCCCGACCAACAACGAAACACAAGACTAACAACAAACTACGTCGAACGAACTCCCCATCTGTGCATCTCTGTGCACAGACGTTTTTTCCGCCGTGAACGTCTGGGCGCAACAGACATCGGATATAGTCGAGCTTGAGTACTGACAAACTGGGAGTGAGTCTACCTGTGAATGAGTTGGAGTTCGGCTGGGTCTCACGAGCACGAATGGGTCTGTGCGCACGAGTCGGGGTATGTCTGAACTCAGGATGGGCGCGTCAGCTCGTCAGTGGCCTGAGCACGACAGGGCGTGACTGAATCGAAACGGCTACGCGATCCCCCCCCCTCCATGCTGAAGCAAGGAGCAGGACTGCTCGTGCGAACGCCGTGCGAAATCCTTGCGCGCTTCGCTGGCGGGCCCAGAAGATCTCACGCAGTGGCTGGACCGTGACACAGCCGGCCACGCCGCTGAGAGGAGAGGCCCAATCTGTAAGAGCATACGTAAACCACCTGGGATTGAAGCCACAGGAGAAGGGGCAATCGATAGGAACGTACGCAAAACACCCAGGATTCGTGTCCCAGGAGAAGCCCCATCTATGGGAATACGCGTAAACACCTAGAATGGGAGCCACTCCTGTGGCCTCCTGGGGCCTCCTGGGGCCTCCTGATGCCTCTTCGGGCCTCCTGTGGTCTCCTGGGGCCTCCAGGAGCCTTCTGGAGCGTCCTGTTGCCTCCTGGGGCCTCCTGAGGCTCGGGACGCCTCTTGGGGCCTCCTGAGGCCTCTTTGGGGCCTCCTGGGGCCTCTGGGGGCCTCCTAGTGGGGCAGGAAACGTGTGAGGGATGTGCCGAGATGGGCGCGATACAACTCGCCTCGCCCAGCGTTCCGACAACTTCCATGTTCGTCGCAAGGCTGTCCTGCGACCGTGGTCCAAACTCCGGCCAGGCAGGCTTCGGGCCGCGCCACACCTACGTCGATGCTTCCTGTAGGCGGCGACTGGAGCGGACAAATCTTGCACCCCGAGACAGACAAACGCAAACAAAAAGAGCCACCTGTGACAATTATTGCCTGGGCGAGCGGTCGAAGGAGGAGGAGTACCACGAATCGGGGGGCTGAGCAATGTCCCCAAAAAATCGACAATGGCCCCGGGCTCGGGCAGGAGCAACGAATACCAATGGGATCCCATTGGAAACGTATCGGCCCCGCGGCTGCACAGAAGACGTGTCATACCCTACAAGGTGGCGCAAACGGCCACGCCAACAAGATGAGAGAGGAGATGAGGAGATGAGGAGCACTGAAGGAGGCACTGAAGGAGATGAGGAGGCAGAACAAGTGGAGGAGGAGGAGGAGGAAGGGAAGGGAAGAACGCGAAGAGAAGAGGAAAAGACAGGGCCGGGAAAGAAAACTGAGTGGGCGCCAGGTCACAGCCGAGGGCTCCACTGGCAGGCCAAACACCCCAGAGCAGCACAAGCAGTTGCGCGAGCAGCCTCGCGCGGGAGCAAGGACAATGGACTAATGTGCGAGTGCCTATCGTACCCGCGGCGCGGCAAAGCCACGGGACTCGCCCATCCCCGTGGGAACGAGGGGCAGAAGCGTCCCAGTGGGCGGGCGCCCCGGGCACGACCGGACGGCGCCGGAGGAGCAGGGGGGAGGAGGAAGCATCTGCGGCGCCAAGCACGCAATTGACCAGGCGGACCTCAGAATTCCGCACCCTCGGAACTGCTGGGCGACCAGCTGTCTCCCACGGGCGTCCCATCCCCCATCCTGGTGGCCAATCTCTGAACCGTGGGGCGCTGCTCCCCGTACTGTTGTTCCGGCAGATCGCGCGTCGATGCTGGTGTCGATGTTGGTGCCGTTGCTGATGTCGGTGTTGGTGTCGATGCTGGTGTCGGTGTCGGTGTCGGTGTTGGCGCCGATGCTGGTGTCGATACTAGAGTCGATGATGGCGTCGGTGTTGGTACCGATGATGGTGTTAGTGCTGAGAAGAATGCTGGTAGCGCCGCACCGCCCACTTGCTGTACGACAACGGATATGCCGGAACAGCCCAACTAGAAGTAGACGAGAAATTGTAAAGCTTTCCTGTCACTTCCCCCCATGCTGGTGCCGGTGCTGGCGTCGGTGCGGGCCTTGGCGCTGGCGTAGGCGCCAACGCTAGCTTCTGGAACACCAGTGAGCCGAGCAGCTCACAAGGGCGCTCGCCTCGGTGGTGGCGTCGGCGCTGGTGTAGGCGCTTGCATTGTTGCTGGCGTAGGCGCAGGCGTTGATGCTGGCGTCGGTGCTGGCGTCGGCGTTGGCGTCAGCGCCAGCAGTAGCTCCTGGAGCACCGGTGAGCCGGGTAGCTCACCGGTGCACTGGCGTCGGCGGTGGCGTCGGCGCTGGCGTAGGCGCCCGCGTTGGTGTTGGGGTCGGTGCTGGCGTCAGTGCTGCTGCGGGCGCTGTCGTTGGCGCCAGCATAGGCGAAGGCATTGATGCTGGCGTCGGTGCTGGCGTCGGCTCTGGCATAGGCGCCATCGTTAGCTCATGGAACAGAAGTAAGCCACGCAACACACCTGGGCGCTGGTGTCGGTGCTGGCGTCGATGCTGGTGCACGCGCTGGCGCTCGTGCTGGCGCCAGTGCTGGCGTCGGCGCTGGTGTAGGTGCCTGCATTGGTGCCGGCGCAGTCGCAAGCGTTGACGCTGGCTGGCATCGGTGCTGGCGTCGGCGCTGGCGTAGGCGACAGTGGTAACTCCTGGAATACCGTTCTGGTGAGCCAGGCAGCTCACCGCTGCCCTGGCGTCGGTGGTGGCGTCTGCGCTATGTAGACGCTGGCGCTCGTGCTGGCGTCGGTGCTGGCGTCGGCGCTGGTGCAGGCGATTGCGTTGCTGCCGGTGTAGGCGCAAGCGTTCATGCTAGCGTCGGTGCCAGCTTCAGCGCTGGCGTAGGCGTCAGCGTTAGCTCCTGGAACGCTGGTGAGCCGGGCTGCTCACCTGTGTTTACCGTTTTGGCGGGCGATTCGGTGCCGAAGTGTTCGGTATCGCGATCGACTCCGAGATGCGAGTTTCGAGCAATATCTGTTAACTCAAGACAGCGGTCTCCCTCCTCCTCCTCCTCCTCCTCCTCCTCCTCCTCCTCCTCCTCGCCCTCCTCCTCCTCCTCCTCCTCCTCCTCCTCCTCCTCCTCCTCCTCCTCCTCCTCCTCCTTCTCCCAGGGAGAGAGGGAGCAGGAGGAGGAGAAGGAGGGAGACGCGCGGCGCTGCAAATTCAAAACGAGGACCCCACACACCCGAAGGTCGGGAAAACATAAGAACTGCTCCTCGAGGCGTCCTCGAACCTGCAGGCTCTGGTTTCCTCTCCCAGGCCGCTGGTTTCCCCGACATCCTGCTGCTGGTGCTGCCTCTGCGCCTCCCCGGCGTGAGACTCGCCTGGGGAGGCGGCGGCGGCCGAGCTCCGCCCCGTCGACTCGCCACAGGTCGCGCGCGGGTCCACGCCGTTCGCGCGTCATCCTCCGCCGTCCTCCTCGCCATCACCGCCGCCGTCATCGTCACCATCAACATCACCATCACACCATCAACGTCACCATCAACATCGCCACGACAATGACCATCACGATCATCATCATCATATCATCCTCATCCTCATCATCCTTCTCATTCTCATCCTGGTCCTCGTTATCATCCTCCTCCTCCTCCTCCTCCTCCTCCTCCTCATGTTCATAATCGTCGTCTTCGTCATCATCATCATCATCATCATCATCATCATCATCATCATCATCATCATCATCATCAGCATCAGCATCAGCATCATCATCATCATCATCGTCATCAGTTTCATTATCGTCGTCTTCGTCATCATCGCCACCATCATAATCCAACAGAGACGGTCGTTCCTGGTCGGTCCTCGCTCCTCATCCTCCTCAGATTCGTCTCCACCG